GAGTTGAAGGTAAGTATGGCTGGCTGTGAATTCTTTTTTTAAAAACTTTCCTTCAACAAAACCTGTTTTACTCTTATATCGTTGTGTACAAGTACAGACAATAATATTATGCACACAGACATATGTGGAGGATTACACACACATATAATTCTTCACAGACAAACTCAGCCAGAGAGCCAATTGGTCGTTGTGTACAAGTACGGACATCGCAATGAGGCACACAGACATATGTACAGAGATACAGACAATCGTAGAAGCATAAAATCAACCTTACACAGACAATACATATTCTTCAAAATCCAAGTTAATATCATCAAATAGCCTAAAAGTGTAAAAAAAATCAAAAACTAAGGCGAAGGATACATACCTTTCAGCCATGGTTGATAGCGGGGTTCAGACCATTGTCGACTGAAATGGAGGTTGGCGGGAGGAGGGTTCGTGGCGACGACTGTTCGTGGAGGGTTAGCGGCGACGAGGGTGGAGGGTTAGCGGCGACGAGGGTTCGTGGATGGTTAGCGGCGGCGACAGTTTGTGGATGGTTGGCGCCGGCGAGGAACCCTTCGTCGAAGGGAGAAGGTTGGCGACGAGGTTTGGGAAGTGTGATGGGCGAAGGGATAGGTGGGATGCGCGAGGGGGGGGGGGTGGGATGCAGGAGAGTTTTTTGGGAGCGGGAGAGATTTTTTGGATGTGTGCACGTGTGAAATAGGCTGAGGTGGGGAAAGGGGAGTAAATTATTTTTGGGTTATTTATAGTGTGTATGGATTTTGTGTAACAATAGGATTTTTGACAACTCCATAGTGACACGTGAAAACGGATATAGCAAAACATCGTTTATCTAAATATAAGACGTGGACACCGAAACATTTTTATAAATATTATTCCCTCTGTCCCATAATGAACTTCTCAGTTTGACTTCACACAGATTAAGAAAATAAATTTGACTTTACTGTGGAGTGCACTGTTTTGCACTGTTTAAACACTGTTTGACATTGTTTGGACACTATTTGACACTTTTTGGAACTTTTTTGATGTAGATTATTTGCCAAATAAGGAAAGTTTTGAAGTGTGAAGTTAATTTCGGGACTGCCCGAAAAGGAAAGTGAGAAGTTAATTTTGGGACGGAGGGAGTATAAATATAAGTCTATAATGGTATATGAACAAAGGTATCTGCTAAATTTCAATCATGTTTTGGATATGAATCGTGTGTTTGAGGATGGTCCTTGGCTTTTTGAACGTGATTTAATTTTGATGAAAGCTATTCAGCCAGATGATATTCCTGAATCGATGAATTTGTTCGAAGCTAGCTTTTGGGTGCAGGTGCATAATGCCCCTATTAAATTTAGAAATCTGGGATCCGCTAGGAAAATTGGTAATGTTTTAGGTTCTTTTGTTAAGTTTGAGATGAGCCAGTATGATGGTCAGCAGAGTTCTTATCTGCGCATAAGGGTTTCTCTGGATGTCTGTAAGCCTTTGAAAAAGGGTACGACGTTGACAAAGGATGGGGTGAAACGTTGGGTGAATTTTAAATATGAAAAACTTCCCAGCTTTTGTTTCTCGTGTGGCATAATTGGACATTCTGATAAATTATGTCCGTTAAAGTATGAAGAAGGCTTTGTAGCTGAAAAAACGTATGGGGCGGAACTTAGAGCTGGAGGAAGTGTGAAAACGAGCCCGACAGGAACCAACAAGTGGTTATCCAATGAAGCTTCCAATTCAGGTGGCTACGAAATTCAGCGAAAGCCTAATCGGGGTGGATATTCCTCGGCAGAATCCAAGACTAGTATGCATCTGCTTCAGGAGATAGAGGATAAGGAAGGAATTCCGGGTGACTCAAATAGTAGGAAAATCTGGGACGATCAGACCAGGGAGGCTGTAGCTGACGAAGGAATGGCTCTGGATGAGTCAAAAAATGGGGAGGCGATGATATGGTGGTGATAATGAATAAGACTAGTGATGGTGTTATTTTTAGTATATGTTTTTTCTGCTTTTATTTTGGATTCTTAAGTATGTTTTCTTTACGCTTTTTTATTTCCTGTAAGACTCTTGCATTAGGTTTGGGGAGTGAAAGTTCTGCGGTAACCGTCATTGGTTTTAGGTTGCCCAATTTTGGTCTAGTGAGTTATACTGCTTTTTTACAGGTGGTTAACTCTCAGTCTCGGCCACGGGCGGATGGTTACATGTGATTCTTTTCTACTTTTGTACCCTTGCTGAATGCTATTTCTATGAATTAAGCCGTCTTGGAGCCAAAAAACAAAAATAACTCCTTCACCGCCCATCTGCTCCTCTTTTCACCAATCTATTCGGTTATCACCTTCCTTGACTCCTCTGGTTATTTCTTTTAATTTTCTTATTCCCCTTCATCAAAACATTAAATATGTAATCACAACTTCATTCTTCTTCATATTCAAGTTAAATTCCGAATAAATCTATATTTTTTTTCTTCTCTATCAATTCAAAAATAAAGTTTTATTAATCCAAAATAAAAATGTGTAACCATAAAAAAAATCGTATTTATGTTTGAGAACCTGCTACTTTTCTTCAAACTCAACCTTATTTTCTTTAGTTCGTGTGATCCATATTTGAAATTTATCAAATTTTACCGCATTCCACAAATCATATAAAAATAAACTCTACTTACATATTTGACACAATTTAAATTTCAAAATTTTGTATAACATGACTTACATATTTAACTAACACAATTTATATTTCATATAAGGATACTAGTTTATTAAAGGCGTGAGGCATAAGAAAACGTCAAAGACAAGTCTCAAGCATTTGAATCATGAATTTTGCTAGGTGTACACACTTTGTGTACACCTCTGGCACCCCATATAAATATCTCCCTTTTTTTTACCTCACTTCCTTCCCAAATTTTTACCCATCCTTTTGTCTTCCACCCATCCAAAATCCCACCCCAGACTCCTGCACCCACACCCCGCCTTCGAACTGCCCCAGACTCCCGCACCCACACTTCCATCCCTCGACCTCGACCTCGACGTCGTAACCGGACAAGAAGCCCCAGACGTCCGTCGCTGCTACGTGGGAGAAAGAAGGGCGAGTGCTCTGCCGGATTGAACATTCTCATCCATCTGCTCTGCCGGACAAGAAGCGTCCTCGGTTTCACTCAAAGTGGACGAAGGGCTTGCGCTGCTCAGCTCCAACTTTAAGGGAAAACAAAGAGAACAGCCGGAAATCAGTTGATTTCATATTTGAGGAGTTTAAAGATCCATTCAAATTAGTGAGTGTTTAAAATTTTAAGCTATGGTGCGAACTAGTTTGACAAATCTTGTTGAAAGGTAATATTTTCATCCTTGTGTAGTTAGCAAAATTGATTTAATTGAATTAAACAAGACCTAATTTTGTTTTTTTTGTCATTTAAGAGTTGTTTGAGATGTTGTTTGTGTGTTGTGAGATGTCTGTCATTTGTTTTGAATTGTCTGTAAAAAGTTCATAAATGTCTGTGATGTTTTAAGTAGATGTCTGTCATTTGTTTTGAATTGTCTGTAAAAAGTTCATAAATGTCTGTGATGTTTTAAGCAGATGTCTGTCATTCATATTTCTTTGTCTGTCATTTGTTTTGAGTTGTTTGTACTTGTTTGAGTTGTCTGTAAAACCTTTACAAATGTCTGTGATGTTTTAAGCAGATGTCTGTCATTCATATTTCTTTGTATGTCATTTGTTTTGAGTTGTTTGTATTAGTTTGAGTTGTCTGTAAGGAGTTTATAATTGTATGGTTGTGATGTTAATTATTGAAATATGGAGTATTAGTTTAACTATTGTATTTTCGTTTATGCCCATTACATATTTGTTGAAAAGATTCCATGAATATCTTGTTCATATGTAAGGTTTTTGGGAAGTGCACTTAGTAAATTGCTAATTTTTTACAAATTCATTGTACCCATTTGATGTTTTGTTCGTGTGGAGAACTTTCTTAACATATTTTTGGTGAATTTTATTTATTTTCGGAACTATATTACTTGTAGTAGGATAAAGTAACTTTTAATTAGTGTATAAACAATCAAGTGTATATCTTTTCTTTAAAAATGTTATAACTTATAGTAGTAGTTTTTTTTAAAGGATAACTTATAATGAACAAACAAGTACATATTTTCTTCAAGAATGTTTAAAAGTTAAACATTGTGATGCATCTCAAGTTATCCTTTCAAAAACGATTTCCACTCTATTCAAATAATCTCCATGGTCAAGTAAACTCACTCTTTATTGGTGTTATGAGTTTTTATGTATACCTTGTTTACTTTTATTATTTAAAAATGCAGATAACTCAGGTTAGTTATGAGGTTAGTTATGGAGATGGAGGAGCCTATGTGACACATGAAGATCGTCAAAGTGGTGATCATGGAAATGGTTTGCTAGTATAACTGGATAGTGCTGGGAGAAAGGTTAATGTACAACATGTTTCAGATGAATCAACTAAAAATCATGTTGAGAGATCAAAACACATGATAACCAAAAAAATAGTTCTTGTAACTAATTACTTTGTAAAGTTAATGCTCTTGTATTTAGATTTAAGTGCATTAAGATTTGCTTTGGTTTTCAAAGATGTACTTTATATGTTATGAAATTGTACATGACTTTGATATTATTGAATTTCAAATGTAAGTGTGTCTTATATAGTTCTTTTCTTTTCAAATATGCTTTTGTTTTTTTAGCACGTATTATCATCGTCTGGACACTTTCTGTGCTCATGTAGCAGTTGGTTGTGTTAAGGTAGCAATTATACTTAAATAAGTTATATTTGTCTATGCCCAGACAATATGTGTAAGTGCAATGTGTCTGACAGAATGAAATGTCTGTCTATGGGAAACAATTGTCTGTTTGGCAGCATGAATTGTCTTAGTGACAGAACGTGTTGTCTGTCTAGTAGAATTAATTGTCTTTTTGATAGCATGAATTGTTTGGGTGATAGAAAGCGGTGTCTGTCTAGCAGAAGTAATTGTTTGTCTCGCAGTGTCATCCAGACAAATAGGTGGCCAATACACACATAAAGCTGACTTCAATCCTTCATTAGCATAATCACATGTGTACATTCATTTATTTCGTCTTCACGGGAAATTCCACTTAATCCATTACAAAAGATACATTTCGAGAACATAAGTAGCTCTAAATACACTATTGTTGTAAATCCAAAGCTATACAATATAACTAATTACAAAAATGAAATATTTAGTTAAAATTTGCTATAAATCTCTCATTCCCAACTTTTGGTATGGAGGCTCATCATCTCCGTAATAAAAAGATCCTCTTTTATTTCTGCCAACTGCATCCAGCATCTTCGCGAAAAATGAAAAATCCACAATGACAACCAAAACAAGGCTGCAGTAGTCAAATGTGCTTCTTTACATTCATAAATATCTTCATTCAACAAACTTCCAACATGTATTCTTTGCTATGTCACCAGGGGAAGTGCACTGCAATAATCAAATGTGAAATTCCATAAGAATTTGAGTTTCATAACAGGATAACGGATTGCATTATAAAATCTAACAGGCAATATTTGTATGTACCAAACATTTCATGTATGAGTTTAGCAAAAAAATCTCTCTAATATCCGAGGGGCACGTGTATACTTTAGGAACAAAATGGGGGAAACAACTCAAACCATGTATTTATAACATCACGAACAATTATAAAGTCCTTACAGAAAACTCAAAACAAATGACACACAACTCAAAACAAACGACAGACAACTCAAAACAAATGACAGACAACTCAAAACAAACGACAGACAACTCAAAACAACAACTCAAAACAAATGACAGACAAGAAAGTATGAAAGACAGAACAAATGATAGACAAGAAAATATGAAAGACAGACATCTATTTAAAACATCACAGACATTTATTAACTCCTTACAGACAATTCAAAACGTGTGACAGACATCTCACAACACCCAAACAACATGTCAGACAACTCTTAAATCACAGAAACAAAATTAGGTCTTGTTTAATTAAATTAAATCAATTATGCTAAAGTGAGTACTACACAAGGATGAAAAAATTACCTTTCATCAATTCTAAAATGCATAGAATTGTTTTCCAACTTCAAAACTCATTTTCTTATGTTTGCTTTCTACACATAAACTTAAAATGCCAAATAAACATGGTGTGAATAGCAGAAAGTGAAAACGTAAAAAACAGAATTTCTTAAAAATTTACAACCAATCAAAGGCAATCAGATAGACATATACGAAGAAATGTAGTCATGGACAACAATTCTAACCTTTTTCATTCCCATTGTCACCCTTTTTATTTCAAATATTATAGCGGTAAATACACATCACAATTTACAATAATCATCCAAGCTACAAAATCATCTCTATCAATCATTTATTAGCTGACCAAATTATTTGTTGGAAGGCACTTACTAAATGACATTCTCAACTGCCTTGAATAAATTTAGTCCAAATAAATTCTAACTTTCAGAAATGTAATTAGAGAGACCAGTCAATGGAGTAACTTTCTAGACACACTCCTTATACACTTGACCTTCACCAACGTGAATATTATTAAAACATCCAAGTGAAATAGGGCAGCTGAATAAAAAAACGTGAATATTAATAAAACATTCATTGAATCATTTCAACAAACAACTCATGGGCATACACGTGAAATAGGGTAGTTGAATAAAAATTTGGAAAATAAACATCACAAATCTATAACAATATAGAAGTGCAATCTAGCCTTCAACATTATAACATATACGCATTCTTTTTTGTTTGTACATAAAATCCAAAAATGAAAAACAAATATATTCCTAAAGCACAAAAAAAAAACGGAATAATATATTACCTCATGAACAAGGCAAAAATTTAGGGTTGAAATTCACAGTTGACAAAAGTGATTGCTCATATTTTTCTATACCATTTGAGATTCACAGTTGACCATCTTCATCCTGGTCAATGGTCATCCACCTTGATTCGAGCCGGAACATCACCGTTCATGCTGGAGTTGGTCTTCGAGCTTTAGTTATCTGAGTGAATAGTGCAAGTTTTGTGAATTGAGTGAATATGAGTGATGGAGTGGAATGAGGTGAAGCCAATTGACGAAAGAAAAGGGTTTGGGAAGGGAGGTGAGAGAGAAACGAAAAAGGAAGATGAGAAAAGAAAGAAGAAACACTGAAGGGGTAATGAGCGGTAAAAAAAAGGGTATTTATAGCATGTACAAATGGTGTACAACTTTTGTGTACCTAAAGCATTACTCTTGAATCATTGGCGAGAATAGGCAATTCATTTTTTTGCAAAAAATAATTATCATAAGAAACTTCCACCTCTTTCATGTCTAGGCCTCACTATTCGAGCCTAGACTTATGCTTTTACACGCCTTTATTGGACAACTCACTCTTCAATTGAGCGTCTTTATACTATGCGGGGTGTTTTCCGTCGCCTCGCTCCTAGGCATTGCTAGGCCCAACCATTTGCCGTCTTTTAGAATACTGGACGTGACTAACATATTTGATACATGTAATTTATAGTTTGTATACCATGACTTAAATGTTTAACACAAGCAATTTACATTTTGCATCTCATATAAAGTATTTTACACCAAACATTTAGCTTTTGTATCACTAAACTATACTATCGTATTACATTTACAAATTAATAACTTCCTAAACATTTAGCTTTTGCATCCATAAAATAATTCACACTATAATGTACTTCCTCCTTTCTTTTTTAATTGCAATAGTCCACTTTTCACGTTTGCCGATGCCCAAGTTTGACCATTAATATCTTTCATTCCTTATTAGTAAAAAAATTAAAAAAAATAGATTTTGAAAATTTAAAATGAGAGGAATTTAAAAATATTTTTTTATTAAAATTTAATTTATAATACATTAATAAATACAATAGAGTCAAAGTAGAACATGTGAATAGTGCAAAACGTCCAATGTTGCATTCAAAAGAGAACGGTGGTAGTATCACTTTCACATTATTCATTAATATTAAAATCTCTTGCACACTAATCATTTTTTTTAAAATAAATAAATTTTATTAAAATAAAGCAAGCAAAAGTACATAGACAACATAAAAGAAAAGATAAATAACGAGAAAAAACAAAAAGAAACCAATAAGAAACTATCCAACCCAAAGCCAATCCCTATGACCCTATCTAGATGATCCCGACCCTCAAGCAATTCTTCAAAGCCCTATTCGTGATTGCGATCTTGTTTTCATAAGATGCGATCGCTGATTCTTTTTTCTGAACATTCTTTTCTGGGTGTTCAAATTTTGTGTAGGTAAGCAATTATCTTGTGTAACCCTTAAAGCTTTGACACATATCTTCATTGGCATCAGAATCCCATAAATCATCCAATGTTGAGATTGGAACCCTTTTCTCATTTTCTGAAACATGCCCAAGATATTCATCCTCCGAACATGAATAACACGAGTCACCGCAATAGCCATCCCAAACAAAAGCATCAGAAAGAGCACCAAGACATCCAGGCTCTGGTACTTTGGGTTGCTGGTGGTCAGTTTTCTCCAGAACAGTATCGGTTACAATAGCTTTTCCTTCATAAGTGGGCCCCAAAATCAGATTATCACGCTTATCTAGTAGCCTCTCAAATTCATTGGTGAAAAACGAGATAGTGAGTCCACCCCATTTGACAAAGTAAGTTCAAAGAAGTCCTTAAGATTTGAGAATGCATCTGTTTCAGGAATTTTCTCATAGTGTTGTTCATCAAAAATCAACTCTTGTTCAATATCGACTTGAAACAAAGCACTTGAAATGGAAAAATCGGTCTGCCCAGAATAGCCCCTATCCAAAACATGAAGATCAAAATCAAAGTTATCTGAGCACACCTCCTTGGGAGCATATGTAATAGCTGGTGTTGGTGGTTGGGCATTTTTTTTCATCAAAGATATTGCTCTAGCAATCCCTTTCAGAAAAAGATTGATTCCTATTCCGTTGCGCCCTTCTGGTATAAATAACGAGTCTCGTCCCTTATCAATGATTCAGATAAAACCTCCATAGAAATTCATATCATACAGAATAAGAAAAGCATTATCAAGCTTTAATCTATTAGTGAATATTCACACAAAAGAGCTTAGGAATGGCTTCCTTCAACCACAATGCCCTGACAGTGTCCAATTCCAGAAAAGATGAAATTCCTAGCTTTGTTTCAGAGATACGGATAGTAGTTTCATCAACAATATCAAAATTAAAAGTTTTGCTTTCGATCAATACATCAAACCTGGATTCGTTCCAAGCTATATTTTTCTGGGCGAACTTGCACACTATTCATACGTATTTACACACTTTGTATTTTATAATAACAATTACATAAAAATATAGTAAGAATTGCACAAAAACATACTAAGGTTACACCGAGCACTTTTGTACTAGAAGTTACACAAAACATATATCTACAATCTAATAAGCATGAATGAGAGTTAGAGTATTGTGGGTATAAAAAATTTGTTGGTGGTATTGTAAGCTTAATTGACATGCACAACATGTTTAGATGCGTGTAAACTTTCAACTTGACTTGACTAATCTCCCTACAACAGTTTGTCTCCTCTTTATTTCCGTCTGATAGCTTCATTCATCTCCGTCTTTATGAGCTTGTACCTTCCGCCTCTAATTCACTCTATATCGTCCAGCTGGTGTTGTACAGGTAAATCCCTACAGCTCGGCTAATTCACCTCACCCACAAATCCACACCATCCCTAATTTATGTCAGCATGTTTCTTTCTCCTAAATTCATCACGATACACCATGGCTACATTCCGATACTAGACCAGGCATCCCTAATGAGGTCAACCCCATTCGATTAACATTGGATGAACAGTTTCAGAAGCAGGTTAGGCCTTTTTTCAGTCTTCTCTGTTTCTTGTTTCCCGTTTTCATGTTTGTTTGCTCTGTTGCTTCGTTTTCCCATATTTTCCTTTGTCGTTTGCATTTTCTATGAAGTCTGAGCACCCCGTGTTCTTTTCTGGTGGTTTGTTTTACAGTATTAAACCATTTTATTATCTCTAAAATGTGTGTATTTGTCACAGACCAACCACCTTTGTATTAGTTTTTCATTTCATTTTACAAGAATTGGCCTATTAGTTTATATAGGAAGGCAAATCCCATAAGTTTACATGAATCTCTATGTATTGGTATTTAATTTTCCTATATTGGTGTAAATTTTTTCTCACCCTGTGATCATAAATAGTCAATAATTCTACTTTTTTTCTTTCCAGTAGCACTAAATAAATACCTCTGAATTAAGAAAACAAAATTAGTCTCTTGGTTTGTGAGCCATAATAAAAAACCTATATAGCATATACCTTTGGAGCTTTTGTTTTCTAAAGAGTTCTATATGGTTAGATAGCAACCAAGCCCACATATGAAGTGGGTAGTCTTCCTAATACTGTGAGGCAATAAGCTCTTAAAATGGGTGGTTAAGTTTGTCAATTATGATCACAAATCTCTGCAACTCATCTAAATAATCTTAAATCCTACCATACAATGGTTTTTGTTTTCTTTGGTGTCCTATACAGTTAGTGATAGTGACTCCAAGACATATTTCACTCATTGGTTATTTGCTTGAAATGAGATTAGTTTCAATTGTATTAGTCTGTTTAGAGCTTGGGGAATAGCCACCGGTCTGATTGGGTGATGTGGCATAAATGACAGGCTGACAAGGGTTCTAATCCTCTCGAAGCATGCTCTAATCAGTGTGGTTGACAAGAAAAATGTAAGCATTAACACTGCCATTATTGTGAAGTTATGTTTGTATTGTTTTTAATATTGGCCATTGATTGAAGTTCTCTCTTAGGTGCTCATTAATCTTTTGGATCAAGTAAAAGACATGCTTCTGAGAACTAATCCAATTTTGCAGAAATGTCAAGGGGAAATTCAGTTTTGGCCAGAACTTCACTTTTATTTCTCTTTTATTTAGAGGTCAATGGAAATATTATAGACTTATGTTCTGATAGGAGAAAGATGAAGTCCTATTGGTATATAGGTTTCTCAAAAGCATGGTACATAAGTCATCCTATGGACATGAAATTTTTATTGTATACAATGGTCTAAAATTAGGTAATTTTAGAGGTATATTAGCAATAAAAACTATAGGCACATTGATCCAGTACTTTACGAAACATATGACAAATAGTTAAGATAGTATTTTTACATATAAAAAGTAAGGCATAAAATGCCTACGATATTGTGATTTCAGTTTTTGATTGTCATTTCCAAAATTCTATAGGTAAGTTTTCTTTGTTCTATTATACGGGTAGTGAGATTTGCAGTTTTGAGCACAAATGCTCATCTTTGAAAGTTAATAGATTAATGGCTGATCACTTAATAAGCATGTTTCTCTTAGTTTTCCCCCTAGACAGCTTATATATAAACTACCAGCGGGCCTCATTTCCATTAATGTCTTAGATTAGTATAGCATCATTTTCCATGAGGGTGTTTCTTTAGTAACAACCTAAGGCTAGGTTCATGTGAGTGCGCCAAATTAGTAGAGCACATTGAAAATAGCCCTACACTATTGGTACTCAAACCTCTGTTGCCATACTTTCGTATGACAAGTGATAAAGCCGGTGTCAGGGATAGATGTTAAATTTTAGTAAGGGTCTGTTATAGCTTATGCTTTTAAAAAAGTGCTTTTTTTAAATAAATGGGGAGAAATGATTAAATAAAAGTTGACAGTGTTTGAGAAAAAAGTGATTTCGAAAAGTAAAAGTGGGTAGTGTTTGGTAAAATAAGTGCTTTTTGTGTAATAGAAAAAGTAAAATCACTTTTGACGCGGAAACCGAGAAAAATAAAAGTCGTAGTGTTTGGGAAAATAAGTGTTTTTTAAAGCCAAAAGCTGAGAAGTACTTTTTTAAAAGGATTTGCAAACCAACCCTAACAAATCTGAACAAAGGTTTGAGTTCAAAATGTTGTTCAGAAACTGGAAATTCAAGCAAGGTTTTGTATATGTCAAGCGCTCGAGGTTGATAGTTAACGTTCTTACTAGCAATCTGCATTTTGCCT